CTAGCAAAAACCCTTGTTCCTTCCTATTATTGCTTATACTCTCTCTTCAACAAAACTTAGAGATAAGGGCAAAATAGTTTCTGCTGGGTATCGAGGGGTAGGGGAGAGAGGGAGGGGGCGGGTGGGTGATAAGGGTGGGTGGTAAGGGGGGAGAAATGACCCAAATATTGTATGCACATATGAATAAAAAAAAAAAAAAGAACCACATAGCAGAAACTATCGTGCTCAGGACCCACAGAGAATCAGGATTCTACGGAGAATCTCATGAGACCTTCAGATCCTCTCAGAATTGCCTTTCCTTTTCAGGAAGTTCACCCTCTTACTTCAGTGCAGTGAACACTAGATTCACAGGATCACTGACTTCTACTCTAGACTTGCCACTCACCATGTCATTTATCCTCTTTTTTAAAAAGTGATTTAAAATAGCTTTTATAGAAACAAATGATGTATTTTATATTTGGGATATATAATAAATTGCTTATGATACTGGTATGGGGACCCATTATAAAATAGTGCTTCTCATGAAGTCACCTCCTCAATAAATGTCATATGAATGTGGAAAATGTGTAATATAAAAACTAAGACACTAAAAGTCATAAGAGTAAAAGCAATGTGGCTTTTCTAAAGAACTTTTGCAGATCTTACAGCAATTAAGTGTCCATGTGAATGTGAATCACAAAGGTTAGAAACCAAGTTGTCAAACCAGGAGATAAAACAATGGTGCTTGGAAGGCTATGTGAAATGAAGCTGTTATATAAATTCCAAGTGTTAGCACTATCATCATCGTTGTTGTTAGCCTTTTTTATCTCTCTGTGGTACTGACTACAGAAAGCTAAATGCTAATTTAAATCCAGAAATAAGTCTCCTAATTTTAATACTTGCAAGTTTCTTCTACAAATATTATTTTAAATACTAGGTCACATCACTCTTCTTATCATAGGTTTCCATTATGCAGGGATGAGGGTTAGAAAGGAACAGAAGAAAGGAGGCACAAGCCTTCAGTGGTTACCTTCAATAATTTCCCCTTAACTCAGAGGAAGTGCTGAGGTGCTTATAAAGCCTCCAAAGTTGTGTTTCTATTAATCTCTCTCTTATAATTCTGCCTCCTGCTCATGTTGCTCCAGTATCACTACCCTCATGTTACCCTTCAAACACAGCAAACATGTTCCTACTTGCTCATACTTTTCCTGGCTAAACAACCATTTGGCCTGTTCCTCATTTCCATCAGACCTTAGTAAAACATCACAAAAGATCTAACCACTTCCTGTAAAGAGCTATCACCTTTTACCCTCTGCACTTCTCACCCTTAACCAGCTTTATTTTTCCTCCAAAATATTATACAAACTGAATACTACAAGCATATTAATTTGTTTAGTCTTTCTCCCCCTCCTAAAATGTAAGCAATCTGAGTTTGTCCATTGTATTCACTTTTATATTGTCAGTGCACAGTAATGAATGAACAGACAGCAATGCCTTCACATAAGGTTTTTCTCAGTAATACATTTATCAGAGGTGCTCATCATAATGGCTAATATATCACAGGTGCTCAACCGTACACTATTCATGTGAGATCCCACCACCCGCTCCTACTTGGAGTGAGGCATCTATTCTCTCTGCTCCTGTAGCAATTATTACCCACTTGAATTGAACTGTCACATTATGAAGAAATCTGGTATTTGTTAATTCTGCTCTTCTTTCACTCTCCCCTCTCCCCCACACGTGAACTTTTTCACAGGGGTTAGAAACTCTTTCCCCTCCTTCTCTATAGGTATTGCCTATCATGTGGGTAAATACTGGATAACCAATAAAAGTTAGCTATGAGAATGGATAAAGGAATACAGAAATAAGGTAATGATAAAAAGACTGTGAGAAAGAAAATGAAATCAAATAAAGCCCTGGATCAACCAGCTCCTGGAAAGAATAATGAAGGCACTGGAAGCCATTACACTTATAAGTCAGTCTATGGTTATCTACTTTGTATATATTAAATATATTCATGGATAAGATCTTCCTTACTCACTTTCAGCTATCTATCGGTATTTTGGTGCAAATTGGGAAACAAAGCGGGGACTGGCAGAGAAGGTGATACACGATCCAGCTACAGTTGCAGCTGGATTAGGCACGGAACCCTATGGCTACCATATTATGGGACAGAGCAGTTTCCAAATCCTTGACAGGGTGTTTGGAAGCTGGAAGTAGAAGCAGGCTACTTGTCTGTCAGTAATCACAGCAACTCACAATGGAGAAAAACCACTTCCTTATCACAGTTCTGAGAGCAGATATTCTCAAGAGAAAAAATGACCACAAATAAACACAGTAAATTCCACATGAGACCATCACACACTTAACTGAAGCCAATTATTTTATCTGTAATTATACATAGACCTCTTTTTTCCCCCAAGGGATTCATGGCTCTGTCTGGAATTTCCTGTTAGAAATTTCAAAAGGAAAAGTTTTGCTTCCTAGCATCTCCAATGACATAAGGCAAGAGTTTAAGGATGCCCATAAATATGTGTTTCCTCATCAATCATTTATTTCACATTGGGCTAAGCTCTCAAATGCCAGATTGGTATGTGGCAAATTAAACATGATTCAAGTCAGAGAAATGGATGAGTGCCACTATCTAAATGGGGCAAAATAACTAAAATCAATAAAAACTCTCAATTCTAATGAACTAGGCTGAACTTGAAATTGCTTCACTGGTTTTCTTCCTAACAGTTACGTATTAGGTGTCTGAAACGGACAGTCCGTTCTGTATCTCAGTGCCCAGAAAGATGCTAGCTCATCATGGGCACTTGATAAACCCTGGATACCTGCTCCATAACATACATTATCTACCACAATCCTGGTTATGAGGATTATGGGGACACCTTGTTATTCATACATATAAACTCTGCTGGTGGATATTGCTTTCTCTGTTCTAGAAATGAGAAAGTTTTTTGCACTTGCTCAGTGCTCAGTTTATAAAGCAAGAAAAGTGGAGAGTTGAGGGCAGATCTCTCTCTCTCTCTCTCTCATTCAAATGCCTCTGACATTAGCCAAACTGCAAAAATGCCTTAAGTAGGTAACTTTTAGTTTCTGTTAAATGGGTATGAAAAGTATCAGGTAAACTCTTCATTGAGTTGATCTATTTAAAGACAATTTTTATAACACTCCTGTTTCTTTACTTTTAAAGATACAAAGGATAAAGTTTCCCTCTGTGAGTACACCTTGAAGTAGCTCATGCTGAATAATTCAGCTCAGTTTCCACAGTGAAGTGGCTGGTCCACTGACTATTAAATGCTGCCTTTTCACCAGTCTTCCATTCAGCCAGTCCTCCTTCCATTCTATGCTCATTCTTTGAGAAGATACAGTGGCAGCCCTTTCCTGGAGCAATCAGCTCTGTTTCTGAGCAAATTTAGAGCTATTCCTGGCTGGAGAACACCCACATAATTAGGGCACAATGCCTGTTCCCAGGGGTAGCCTGCATGACCCTGCGGAGAAAGCTTCTCAGATGCATTGCAATGCAGAGTGTGGGCACCTCACTTTTTTTCCACAGTGACTTTTACCAGCAAGACAGCCATTGCTTTGCTCCTCCCCTACCTTGTAGACATCCAGCTCTCCACACTGCTGATCAAAGCGAGTGTAGAGGGCATTGAGCATGGTGATGACCTGCAGCGGTGAGCACTGGGAGCAGATGGCGGTGAACCCCACGATGTCCGAGAACAGCATGGTGACGTTACTGAACTTCTTGGCTTGCACTACCTGGCCCTGCCACAGCTGCTGAGCCACCTCACAGGGAAAGATAGAGCACAGAAGATCCACAGTCTTCTTCTTCTCTTCCTCCAGTGCTTGGTGGGCATGCTCTAGGGTGGCCTTGAGCTTCCCCAGCCTCTTCTTCAGGCTGTCTTGAGCTCGAGCTTGTTCACCTATTAAGACCACATCTCTCAGTGCGTTATGGATTGGGATGTCAGACAGGTAGAGCCCTCGTCCTGTAAAGTCTTCTAATCTGTCCACACAGGGTGACCCCAAGAACAGTATCACGCTGGATTCAACAATGTATATCATTTGGCCTTTGAGATCCATAACCTATAAAGCAAAGGAGAACCATTTGGTGCTTTTTTTTTTCAAGTTCCCACACTTTTCTGAGACAAAAGGAGTAGATACAATCATAATCCTTTTGTGCTTAAACTCTGTGTTTTTCAACTTGCTATAGAAGAACAATAGGGTTTTTAACAGTTCTTATTCTCTATGCAGTCTAAAAACCATGCAGATAGATATTCAAAAAATATATTGGAATATAAACTAACAGAAATTATGATTTGCAATGAACATGCAAAGCATTCTTGCTTCAAGGCCTTCCACACATGTGGTGGTGCCTTTGATGCTGTATGCTTTTGATAGTCCCTAGTTAATCTAGAGTTGATTATTTGCATGAAGACCTAGTCTTTCCTTATTTCTTTCTCTTTTCCTTTTTTTCTTTCGCTTTCTTTATTTCTTTCTTCCTTTTGCTCTCTCTCTCTTTTCTTTTTTTTCAGTCTTCTATTCTAGCAAGCTTCTCTTCTCTTCCTCTCTCTCCTACAAGCTAATTGTTCCACCTGACAGATATGGAAGGTAAAAAGCCTCCAAAATTTGTCCTAACATTCCTTCTGTCCGAGACAGAGCTACCTTTTGGACATCATTATCTCCTCAGGGTCTACAGCATGACATAGCTGGGCTGTACTGGGAGGTCATATCCTTTTTTCAATTTTGCCTCAAGCACCTAACCAAGCTGTGCTCCATACCACAAACAAAAGAACAAAGCAGCCGCAGAAAGAAATGTAGCCAGGTGCCCTGAAAGATGCAGGCCTCCAGTGCTCATCCCTTACTATGAGATTTACCTGCGAGGACGTGGGAGGACAAGTGTGCACATGCGTATTCACTATCGCAAGGAGTCAAAAACAGCCCAAAGGCTCTTTAGTAGGAGACTAGTTAAATTAAATGGAATACAACCATGTAAACTGTTTAGTTACAAAAGTAATTGTAAAACAATATATATATTTTTGCTGTAAACAAAAATTTTTTTGTAATAGATATCTTTGAGTAGTACCCGTTTTTAAACATCTAGATATATCACTTTATGATAATAATGATAAAGCTTTTTTTTTGGACATTGGGGATTGAACTCAGGCTTGGCACTTGAGCCACACACCCCAGTCCTTTTGCTTTGTAGAATTTTTTGGTTTTGGTTTTTTCAATATAAGGTCTCGTGCTTTGGCCCAGCCAGCCTCAGACTACTATGCTCCTACGTCTGCCTCCCAAGCAGCTGGGATTACAGAAACGCACAACCACATCCAGACAAGGTGCTTTGATTTTGGGGAACAAACAGTGCTTCTGATGGGATCAGATATTTCTAAGACCTCTCTCATATCTGTTTGCCATGTCAACTATGAGTTAGCAAACTTTCTTTACTGAAAGTAAATAATTGTCAAAGTTCTCTACTATGAAATGGCAGAATATGTCTGCATTCTGTAGCAATTAATGAAACAAATTATTTTTCTATGTCTCTTAAATATTGATTAAAAATCCATTTAGTTGTCTCCTAGAACACACAGTTTTTGTTTATTGCAAAATGATATCTTTTTTATTCAAACCAAATCAATTATTTGATAATAGTTGAAAACAATTTTCATGTAAACATTTATCTAATTTAGTCACAAAGCAATCCATTAAGATTTTAAAAGGCAAAGTGCATTCAATAAATATTTGTGAAGAAATGAATAAACTAAGGGAGCAAATGAATAGAGAAAAGATTCTGTTTTAAGTCTATCCTAGCCTTAAAATTATTTGAGTTGTTTTAAACATAAATGTGTTATCAATGCATTTGAAGTGGTGTGTACATTTTTACCTTTGAGCGTTTTGGTCCTTGACTATGAAATAACTTACTTTATATTAAATATAATATTATGCCTTCCTTACCCTTGAAGACTTCTTCTCAGAGTTGTCCCATCTCCTCACTCGGATGACAAACTGCATGTTCAACATAGTCATGATCCCACTGAAGGTTTGGTTGATCTTTGGAGTCAGAATTTCAAAGTGCTCTTCAAAACTGGGCTTTCCTTGGAAGTCCCTCTTGTTCAGCAGCCTTCTAATGCCATTGCCAAGTTGCAGGATAGTCAGGTCTCTGTCAAACATGAAGTGGAATGGGAACGTCTTACAGAAGAGGGACACAGGGATCACCAGCGAGGACTGGGGTTTGCCAGGAGACAGGGATGGCTTGGTGCTTTTCACAAGAACAGAGTACAGCAAATAGGGCTGATTGACAAATTCAGGGCAGTCGCTTTGGAAACAGGGAGGCATTAGGGACACTTCCACTTCGCTTTCGTACAAAATGTGAGCAGCTGCCTTAATGACGCCGGGAAGAATCAGGGCTGTGATTCTCTTTGGGAAGAAATAGTAAACATTCAAGAAATCATGATCTTTATCCAGGCATAGGATGGAGGCGTCTTCCAGCCTGCCCTTCTTCTCAGCTTCTTGGCAATGGCTGCTCTGCTTCAGAAGGGTGCTGAAGCTGTTTAAAAAGTCCTTCAGAGTGCCACCCACCACGCCCAGGATGTGCTCGTCTTCCTCGTAACAAATTCTGAAAAGTTCTTCTCCCAGAGATTCTTTGATGCGCTCCACTGGAACTCCTGGAAGCAGATAGCATATTTTCTGCCTCATCAAACAAGTCAAGTGGTAGCACTGTGCTTTTACACCTATTTTCAACTTATTTAATTTGCTTATTTAATTCCTTTTATTCCTTTTAATAAGAGTTCCAACCTAATTCAGAAACCTATATTTAAGTTATCAACATAGATGAGCTTCTAAAATGTGGTAAATCTGAATAAAAATCCTCAAATTTTTTAAAAAATGATTGACACATTACTTTTTCTTTTTTTTAAGTTTTTAAATTTAACTATCAAAGAATGGTTTCCTGTCATCTTTCTGTGAATGACAAAAGCAATAAATATTCATGAAGGGCCTCTCCTTTCAGAAAGCCTAGATTAGCATAAGTGTCACACACTGTAATTAATTTAAAATCAATAGTTATGAAACGATTTTATTTGGAAGTGTTTATGAAGTTTGGAGTTTTTTTCTCAGTACAGTAGCAGTATTGTCCTAGTATTTAATGTGACCTGTGTGAATGTTTGCTTGAAATGTATCATTTACTTTCTAAAGCTTCTTCTAAAACTTCCTTTTTCCTTATACTCTGGTATGGATGTAGGAAAATATATAAAAAATAATACTGCCCTCTTTAAGGCACTATTGGGATATATGGGGTATACTGAGAATAGTGTGGCTCCTCATAAGAGCTCAATATAAATTAGACATTATTATTATTATAATTTTTAACAACTTTGGCTTTTAAAAGGATGTAACCTCTAGACCAATGTACTCAAACTTTGAAAAGGACGGTATGACAAAGTCACTCATCCTTTTTTTTTTCCTTGAGCTAATTATTAATGTGAGAAAGCTAATAGTCCTTTTCTCCACGGTTGCTTCCAACCTTTAAGAATATTATTTTACCTTATTGAGCAGAATTTTTTGTGTATAAATGAGGAATGCTTAGGTTCAAAAGCAAAGCCTGTGAATGTCTGTGAGTCAGGTTCCCATCCATTCTTATCTACTTTTTAGCAAATAAATATGAAACAAAGAGGAAATGTTTGGGATCAAAGAAAACATACAGTGTGAAAGTTACTCTTTCATTAACGGAATACATTTTGTTGATCATTTCATATTAGGAGACAATAACAAATAAATACCAATATTTTTGGAGAAACAGGTATGAGATATGCTTCCTAATTGCATATATACTTAAACAATTCTGATACCTGCAGCAATTGCTTGGTCTGCAACTAGTTTTTCAAAGTCTTCTCTTTCCAAGGATTTCCTAGAAATAATTCAATATCTTGAATTAGAACACTCATAAATGAATGCTATAATTTCAGATCATGTATGATATATAGAAATGTTGACACATAATTTTGTAATGGCAAGTCTTGATTAGCAATTAAACAGGAAAGGAACAGTGACATGTTTGATTCAAAACCATGTTGGAAACTGCAACATACACACAACACGGAATGTCTTATCTGTCCTAGGGAAGCATATTTACCTCTGAGGTTCACTTTACATAGGCCAACACTAAGGAGAACCTGTGCTGGCAGGGAGCCAGAAGTGTGAACTGATCAAGAGGACAGAGAAGCTGGGGACATAGCTTATAGTGTGTTTGCTTTGTTTGCTAGAGACCTTGGGTTCTACCCGCAGCAGTGCAAATTAAAAAAAAAAAAAAACAAAGAAAAGAAAAGAAAGGATACATATGTATATATACGTATATATATATATATATATATATATTTTTTTTTTTTTTGTGGCACTGGGGCTTGAATACAGGGCCTACACCTTGAGCCACTCTATCAGCCCTTTTTGTGTTAGGTATTTTTGAGATAGGGTCTCATGAACTATTTGCCCTGGCTGGCTTTGAACTGCTATCCTTCTGATCTCTGCCTGAGTAGCTAGGATTATAGGTGTGAGCCACTGGCACCCAGCCACTATATGATATTATATCTACTTTGGATCTGGAGATCCTCAAATCCCTTGGGACGTATTTCTCTATTAGAATCAATATTTACATGTGCTTTTCCCACCCCATTTAAGTAATTTCTGTTGTTTTCTAACAAAAGAGATCAAAAGTCTTCATTCTTTCTTTAATGAATATATAACGATATATTCGTTATGGGGGGGATTCATAGTGACAGTTCCAATTAAGTTTATATTGTATACTAGTTACATTGCCCCCACTGTCTTTCCCCTCCACCTTGTCCCTGCCTTACTTACAGCAATTGCAAGAGATTTCGTTGTTCTATTTCATAGAGGTATATGAAGTCCGTCAACCATACACCCTCACATTAATCTTCTTCATTCAAAACCCTTCATTCTTTTTTTTTTTTGAGATGCCAAGAAAAGTTTTTATTGCAAGCACAGTGAGCAGAAAGAGGTGTCTTCTCACAAAGTGGCCACAAGGTCTGCCATTAACTAAATCTCTGACAACCCTTCTTTGGTTTAAAGCATACAAGTTACCTTCTTGCTATCAGGTGTACATCATTTCTGCCATATGGGACATTTTCTTGGGAATATACAAGTAATACACCATGTGGCCCAATGGGTCCTCAATGGTGACATCATTCACATAGACTCAAGCTTGCTCAGAACAGGAGCAGGGAGAGCCAGACAGAGTTCTGGTGTGCAGCGATTGAGAATAGTCCTCCAGCGTAGATCTTCATTCTGGGGCCAAGGGAGGCACATTCTGCAGACCTGAAAAGGAATACACTTCCACATCATGCCATCTCTTACACTGGCACTCCTTGCCTACACATCCACATGGCTTGCCCTGGCTTAGTTCGGAAACAGATTGAAAGTCAGAGAGATCATTGGCCTTGAGACTTGCTTGGGTAGCATCAGAGGAGTCTTCTGTTTTACTCTGATGGAAGCCTTGGCACCGAAGTTCTCAGAGGCTCAGTGACTGCCACTGTGTGATTAGTATAGAGAGAAGCAGAGCTTTCTCCTGCATTGAACTCTTTAGGGGTTGAAATTCCCAGCCCATTACTGCCATCACCAGGGTCAGTCTGGCTTCTGTGCTTGAGCTGGCTTGCTGGAAGAAGTTATTGTACTGCGATGTATGAACTTTGGAGGATGAAGGACGGGAGACTTAGAATGTCTACGATGCTGAGTTCTCACTGCTCCTCATGAAGACTTCCTTGTAGACCCATGCCAACTGTCTTTAGATGCACATGTGGTTTTAGGTTTGGTATCATCTGCTGTCGTTCTGACTGATGCTCTGACATTTGTGCCTTTTCCAACAGACCGCGATACAATGGACCCTGATGCATCCACTCTTAGTTTCTTGAAAGTAGTTTGTAGACTCTCCTTCTCTCCATCCTTAGCTTCGGATTTCATTGTGAAAGTTTTTGCTCTACTAGGGATGTTCCCGTTGATACTCCTCGCAGATAGGGTGCTCTAGTGATTCAGCCCCTTTAGTTCAGATCGTCTCTCTCCCGCTGCCGCGCCTGACTCAAAAACTCTTCATTCTAATGCTGCCATTTCCCAGCACCCACACTATGAGATGTGAGCAGAGTTTAGCTATTCTAGACAATCTAGAGTGCAGTGCAGTGCAAACTAAATTCCCTACCCACACTTTCTAAAAACACAAGCCAGCATGAGCCCTTGCACTGACCAGCAAGCATATACTCATGCACCACATGTGCGCACACACACACACACACACACACCAGCCATGAGTTCATACACACTGTGATCTGATCCCAGAGAAAGAAAGGAAGCAAAAGCTGTCTGAGCAACTAAGTGGAGAGGTGTGACAATAACTATATGGAAACTCCTTCCCTTTAGAAAAGTATTAAGTAGGGAGGGGAAGGAGTCCAGTCCTACAATCAAGGGCAGTGTATTGTTTTGTGTATTTTTTTGCCTTTCAAATCCCAGAAAATAATAAAAGGAGTTGAAGCAGTTGAAATTGCAGCTCAGTTGCCAAAAAGCAAGTGACAGAAAGAAAGAGGATACCCAAGAGCTAAACAAAGCAAGGCGGAGTCATTTAGCATATCAGCAGGCAAATCTTATCTCAAGAGAATAATCAGTATTTGAAAGTATTGCCCATTCTTTTTCTTTTAGAAATCAGGAAAATGGGGGAAAGATTTTTCAAGATTTCCAAATGAAATGATTATGAGATGTGAGCCGAGCTTAGTTATTCTAACAGCATAAAATTTTTTGATGATTTGAGATTCATTTCAAGAGGTACATGCTGGGAACACATCCTCATTGCATATCTGCATGTGCCTGGAGGAACATTTCAGAACACAAAGCCCTGAGAATAAATTTGGAGGGGAACAGCTGCCAAGGACTTGAGCAGACAGATCCAGTAGCACAGCAAGAATGACTTGCGGCTATCTTATCAGCTTGACTGAGAATTAAGGTCAGAGGCATCTGGAATGCTTTTCCTATCACTCCTATAAACAAAGCTTCTGTCAGACACATTGATTCACACTCTCTCCTTCTGGACCAGCCATGACCCTTCTTGGCTTGGTCTTGCTGCCTGCAGTTGGTGCCAAGTTTGTCAGCAAGGAAAATCCAGCACAGATAATCCACAGGGCAGATTATCCACTCATGGGTAGGAGACAGATGAATGAATTTATAAACTATACACTTAAAGTCTGTTGGTGTAGCTCAACTGGTGAAGTACTTGCCTGTCAAGCACAAGGCCCTGAGTTCAAATCCAAATACCTCAAATATATATACTCAGTGGTGGTAATGATTTACAATACTCCAGTGTTCTATTTTGCAAATTTAAACTCGTGTTTACTCTATAATTCACAAATTAAAATATCCCTTGAAATTTCAGGAAATCAAAACCAGAGTCAAATTATCCAATCAGCAGTAAATATGCCAAGTTACTTTTGAAAACTTAAATACAGAAATCAGAATTTTTTTTTCAATGTCACTTTGCATTAAGTCTTTTTAGAAACCTTTTTAAGTACAATTTTAAAACAGACTTCAAGAAGAAAAGGATAAAGAGTGCTGATATTCAACAGTGAGACCAAACCGGTTGAGCATACTGAACTACTTTTCTAAGGATTGTTTAAAGCCTTTGCTCCAAGCCTGAAATCTTCCCCCTCTCACCCTGATACTGGCACGTCCTGGATGAGTTGCTAAAGGCTTTACAGTTGAGATGTGAGGGTCAGGGTGGCAGGTGTCTATTGTACCCTACTTGGACTTTGGTGGCTTCTTAAACTAAGAATCTGTTTTGATTTGGGGGATCTATGTCCAAATTGCTGTTAAACACTGAACACATTACCTATCCCTCAGTATGAAAGAATAGGCCTTATACAACTTGTTAAAACTGGTAGCATGGTTAAAGTCACAGGCTCTCAATAAACTCATCAGCAAGCTTGACCTGGAGCTCTGACTTTTCCTAAATAACTGTAAAATGCCAAACATTTTCTATAAACCCAAGTCGAGTCATCTATAAAATGTGAAAAGTAAACATACATTCAAGTCAGTAGCAGCTAAAACACTTCAGGTCTGGCAATCCATAGTGAAGCAATAATGTGCATACATTCAGTAAGTGATGGCTGTCTTCAGCAATATAGGTAGTTGTAATTGGGTTCATACTATGAAAGTCAGACATACCTGCTTTCTTTTATTTTATGCTTTGCCAATGTTCTCTGAAGTGCCAGGTTCAGCTGTTCAAACTGGAAATGAAGAGAAATGTTTTAAATCTTTCCTTGCATAATAATTTATTTGAAAACATATATTTTAGAAATTTATAAGGCTTCTTAGGAGGAAACAGAAACATTTTTACTTGAATGTCAAATGTAGTGGATTTGCCTTTTGAAAACTGGGTCTCTTTCTATTTACTTTTTAATCTTAAGGAGAAACAATAAGCTCAGAATAGTTTGAGTCTGATTGTGTGACGGTCTCATTGACAGCCACATGACAGTCAAGCTGAATCGGAATTCAAACAGAAGATTCCAGTTTGAAACATCAGGTCTTCTTCAATGTACGACTCTGTCGGCATCACTCCTCTGGATCAGGAAATCTCTCTGGTGACAGTGCCACTACTGCCACCTGGGCATGACTTAAGCCAAACAAATTGCTGTTCCTTTCCTAAACCCCGCCCCAAGCCACCCAGTGACTTCAGTGCTCTTTGCCTGCACATTCATACTCACACTTCATATATTCTAGTCTCGAAATACTGCAGTTACCTCTATTTCTTCCCTTTTTTTTACAAATCCATTAAATCAACAGTCACTAAATCAGTTAATCTTTATTTATTTAAAATGAGTCTTGGGGTTTTCTTTGAATTCTCAGCAAATAATAACTTTGTTCTTTTTATTGATTTCTGAGTATTTCATGAGTTTTCTGATTTTGCAAGACAGAGGGATATAAGTCTCCATCTTAATAAATACTTGTTGACTATTAATCTCTGTTAACATCCCTTTCTCTCTAAGTAAGAAGTAAAACATTGATAAGCCTTGTTGACTTTTTTTGCATTCTATAAAAAATGTTACATATCTCTGTGGTATAAATAGCCATTGATTGATTTTGTAGTTTACTCAGAAGAAAGTAAAGAATTTTCTGGCCGTGTTCCAAGTTGGGAAATTCCTCTTTCCTTAATAACTATAGAGTTTCCAATGGTCAGATCAGGCAATGGTGTTAAACAAAATAGAACATTTTTGAAAAGGACCTTTAAATTTTAAATGTGTAGGTAAAATTTAGAAATTTAAAATTTATTGAAAGAAAATGTAATCATTAAAAAGGAATTAAAGAGAATTTAAGTTTACAGCATGGATCAATTTTTCTGACTGATGGGGAATAGAGATGGAGGACACATGTGCCACAGGACATGTTCCTTGGGACACATGAGTAGGTCCTGGTGAACTGTATGACAATGAAAGGCAGGAAGGCTGGTAGGTGAGGAATAAGTTCAGAAAGGAAAACATGGGCGTGTTCCTTGGCAGTCCTTCCCATCAAGAGAGAAGACAGCTCAACTGGTGAGCCTGTGAGGGAGGCACAGCACCCAGGGCACATGAGAAATGAACTTTCTCAAGTGTCTACTATTACTCAGCAGAGCTGCTCTGGCATTACTAGCCACAGAGTACTTGTGTAATACAAACCCATGCAACCATGGGCTTCCAGCACTTCCTTCTTCCTGAAGAACACATTCCTGTGGGGAAAGGGTCAGGAGTAAAATGAGGGCTGCTGCCTCTGTATGCACTCCCAGTTTTCCTTCAGAGCACTGCTACCTAAGAGAGAAAACTATTATCTGTTTCTTCCATGGGAGAAAAAGCTCCTGCAGGGCAGGGAGTACTTGTTTTGTTCACCCCTATATGTCCAGAACCTAGAACAGCACCTGCTCATAGGAGATGTTCAATACATACTTACCGAATGAATGGAGAAATGAACAATATTCCTTCTGTCAGCTACTCAATGCCTTGAAGGCTTAATCTACAAAATTTTATCAGAGAGGTGTTATAATCAAGTATAGTATTACTCTTAGCTTGCTTAAAAACAAATTATTTCCAAATTAAACTAATTTTAATTATATTTGTTTATATACGAATTGCTGCTCTGATCAGGAATTCTTAATTTTTTTTCTGGGGCTGTGAATTAAACTCAGGACCTTGCACATGCTAGGCAAGCACTTGCTCACTGTGTTATACCTCCAGCTCTAGACCAGAAACTTTTGATGGGCTAGGAGGAAAAAACAATCCGACCAATTCTGTCACTGGAGAATTTTCCATCCTCCTTAATACTACTAGAGACATTTTTCCCTTCTTTATATTTCTAATTGAACCATCAAGACACTCTTTTGCCCTTTCAGTCAAGATCCTTCATGGTGTTTTTGTCCTTCCCACTGTCACTAGAAATGTCTTTTATTGGTCTGTTTTTCCTAACATACACTGTCATAGTAAGAGGCGGAAGGCAGACTGCTCCTGTTCCCACCATTGCTGGGCTTGGTGAAGCAGATGTATTTCTGACTTTCCATTTTGAATCAGAACTTATTTTCTTAGAGAAAAAGTGTTGATGTGTTAGAAAGCATTAGTAGCAGACTTTAATGACATAATGTGTTAATGGACTTTTGTGAAACTCTACCTTCATTTTATACCATCGTTTTTCTGGTAAATGTTAAGTTCAAAGCAAAACACACGCACACACAAAATCCAACCTATAAGCTTTCCAGGGAAACCATTGATCAGTAAAAGTGTGGTTCATGGACTTTCCTACCTCACAGTTGCATTTCTTGTGATACATCCTGAGATGACATGAGACCACATGAGAGATTCAGCTTTAAGTGAGACCTGTCACACACAGTTAACCTCAGGGCCTCATGACATAAACTCAACCACTGCAAGACTGCTATGTATACCATCATTCTATACACTAATTTTTTACTTTATTGTGATATTTTAAGACTAAATACAATATTGCCTCCAAATTATTATTCCTTACAATTCAACATATATAGAGCATTGCACTCTTCTCTGTTTCTTAGCTGTCCAGCATTCAAACTTCCTTATATTTTGGAATTTGGGATTTGTACAAATTAAGTGCTCTTACATCTAAAATCCTCAGATCTTAAATCTAAATTTCTGACTTACAGAAATCTGTTCTTAGAATTAAATAAAGCATTACTTTCAAGTTAATTTCTCTCTCTCTCTCTCTCTCTCTCTCTCTCTCTTAGTAGGATTAGGGTTTGAACTCTGGGATTTGAGCTTGAGCTACATCTCAAGTCCAAGTTTGCTTCTCTTTAATGAACAATTGTCTTTTGACTTAATGGAGGATACACAGGTACTCTTTAATAAAACCATATTAGTTACCATATCATTAGTACATTATATATGAGTATTTCAAGAGCAACTGTTATTTGTTACTCTGAACACTGAATTTTGATAGACAGCATTTTATTGTCATAGTTTATGGGTAAGTTACTGCTTCAGTTGACTTTTCATTTTCCTATATTTTTTATTGTTGTGCTGAGGTACATTTTGGCATTTACAAAAGTTCTTACAATTTATCAGATACATCATACTTAAATTAACCTCCTCCATCATTCTCCTTTATTCTCCCTCCCCCTATTCCTGGAATAGTTGCAACAGATCTCATTTTTCCATTGACATTTTAAATTTTTTTCTAGATGGAGAATGTTTTAACTCATAAGGATAAACTGTAGTAGCATTCCTTTTTCTCTCCCTGCCACTCAGTGGTCTGGACCATATCTAGAACCCCATGGCTCTCTTAAGATCCTTTTAGTCTCACTAGTTCATTGACTGGGGTAATGTTGTTTATGTAAGCATATCCAGTTCAACTGATTCCATTCAATGAGTGAACTTTGATTAACTATAACTGTGGCTAATACTCAAGTACAAGCTGCTAAAAGGCACTATGCCTGAGGATAGTAAGGAAATGATACATATGAAAAATGCTCAAACAACATTATAGTAAAAAACATCAACTATTAATGAGATGCAGAGAGTTTTTCATCACTCCAGTTATCTCTTTCACTTTAAGCAAGTGATCTAAATTTATGTGCTTCAATTAAAAAAAAATAGAAGCAAAAAGTTCTCATTAGATGATCAGGAAGACTTTTGGAAACTCAGATATCCACTTTTCTGGAATGACAGCTCATATTATAAATTTGCTAAAGATAATGAATATTAATACTTATTCCCCATGAATACATAACTGGAGAGTTAAATCTGATTATAATTATAATATAAAATAGTATTTGAGGTCTCTACCTTTAGATTATTGATAGAACTGAAACCAAAGAATAGGGTAAACATTAAATCTGTCAACTCAATAAAGCATCAATCAAAAATAGAGGTATCTATCAAAGATGGACAGATATTTGGACAGTTGATGAAATAATCTGAATTAATGACTACTGGCTGTCAGAGCCAGCAGTGGGACTGTGCCTGTGTGATCTGGCATTTGGTCTTGTGAGAAAGCTCTCAGGAACTGAGGCAAAGGTCTCAGAACCAGACGTCCAGAAAAACAACAGTGCTCAAGGTTCCCCAGATGCTAAATCACACAGGCACAGTCGCACTGCTGGCTCCGACAACTGTCAATCACAGGCTCATGCCTGCAAACCGTAGGAACAGCTCAAGTGTGTCAAATGCATTCAACACTGGGACATGTACTGTTATAAGACAAATGACTTCAGTGGTAGAAAACTGTTACTCAATAATATCACATGTACTTCTACCTGCCAGAATTCTTATAGCCTCCTTCTTTCTGTTACAAGAGAGTGTAGTCACATCTTGATGATTACTCTTATGACTCCATGAAAAAATAACATAGCTTATTCTAAATAAAAAGTAGAATATAACTTATATTTGGTATTGTACCCTGGCCTTTCAGTTCAGTCTCTTAGAGAAGTCAAGACTGTTTATAGCAATCTGCATTCTCTTTCAGGCTGATGGGAGGCACATACCCTGTGCCTGCACATGCACCAAAAAAGTTTCAGAGGCTCCCATAATCTATAGCTGGACTAGCTGGTGAAGAATCAAGAGTGTGTGACACAACCAAAGGAACAAAATAAATCTCCAGTAATCAGCCCTAAAGAAATGAGGATCTATGAATTGTCTAACAATGAATTCAAAATAAAATCTTTAAAAAGCTCAATAAGCTACAAGAGAACCCAGAGAGCCAATCAAGTGAAGTCAAGAAAACTATCCATGAACAAAATAAGAATATCAACAAAGCAATACAAACCATAAGAAACATTCAAGCAGAAATTCTTCAGTGGAGAATAATTTAACTGAACTGAAAAATTCAATAAAGTGCTTTAAAAGCAGACTTTATCAAGCAGAAGAATCAATGAATTCAAAGTCAAGTCATTTGAAATTATTTAGTCAGAAAAGCAAAAAGGAAGAAAACTAAAAAAGTAAAGGGAGTCCAAGGGCATTGTGGGATACTACCAGACAAACCCAAGTGTTTTTGTTTGTTTGTTTGTTTTTTAAAGATTCCAACATGTATATGATTCCTGTTACAGTAGTTCAAAATGATAAGGTAATAAAACCATGATGATGACAGGACTCAGGGAAACTACAAAACCTATTGAGTTTCCACAAGTACTGAGTGTTCATGTCTGCATGTCTCACTCTGTTCTTGGAATTAAGTGTATTAAGCCACTTCCCAGACTATAATGCAAACCAGCTGCCTAAGGAGGGCTACGTCTCTCATCTCAGACAATGACAGCTGTCTAATGAAGGAAGTGGGGTGAGAATAATTAAAGATTGCCATTTCAGAGGTCATTAACCAAAGTGCAATTGTGATAATATCAGGCTTAAACCAGCTCCCTCAACATTCTGCTAATTCTACTTTTTATCCTACCTTCAATCTTCAATTCAAGTCTCTTCTTTCTCTGTCACTCTGGCCTGCATTCTTGAAAGCAGTTATTGCTCTCCCCATCAAAAGCTGTCTGATTCCGGTCAAGTCACTGAACTTCTCTAGAACTTTCTACAGATTTCTCTGAAATTTCTTTAGTCCTAAGTATCTATGAACTTTCTTTGTTCTTCAGTGCTTTTCACAATATAGAGGGATGTTTTTCATCAATTAAAAATTATTAATTTATCATGATAGTTGAATTCTGATTATGTTGATGTTCAACCCTATAGATTAAATGAGTTTTTATAAAACTGTGAATACTCACAGAGGAAGACTTCATGAGGATTTTTAACTGCTCTTCTCTTTAGCCCTGCAGGGGGAGAGAAGCTCTCTACATGTTCCCTTCATTTATAGGATGTTTTTGCCTTGTTCTCAGAGTTCTTTTAATGGCAGATGGAGTGAAGGTGCTTCAGATTTGAAAACGGCATTATACAACACAGTTCACAGAGCAAGTATCAAGAAGCATCAGAGCTAGTAACACAGATGCTGGCAGTCACAGAGCCATGGAAACAGGTCAAGGGTGGTTTGAGCACCCTTAGACCGAGTGGAGAAAGGCCAGAAATAGGAAAAGTTTGGGAGTCATATGTAAGTTGGCCAGGGTTGGCCCAGTCCACCTGCACCTGACAAGGAACCACCCATGCCCCTCCCCACTCACTGATTACTGGATGGAAATCTCCTGTCTCTGCCCTCCCCATAGGTTTTTAAAGCACCTGAAAAAGAAAAGCACACCCTCTCTGCTGGCAGACTCTACTGGCACCCCACTAAGCTCTCTTTGTATTTCCCTTTCCCTGTCATTTAATAAACACCATTTATATCCACGTGTTCTACTTGGATTCTTCCATGCCAGAATGCAAGAACGAAGGCCTCTGTAAACACTGCTGTTTACAGACTCAGCAGGAAAATGGAGATTTTCACACCTCTGAAAATTGTTAGGCAATATGTGATGCACTTTGCAATTAGAAGAGGAAAGCCAGATGACTTCATTTAGTTCTCAATGAAACTCTAGGAGGTAGGTAGAATTATTATTTCCATTTTACAGATGAGGAGTCTGAGTCTGAGACAGGTAAAGCAGTTGCCCAAAGTCATAAGGTTTGTCAGAATGCAGAATCCTTTTGAAAAGAATTCACAATGTTAATCATTTTAAGATTAAATATAATTTAGAATGAGTTTTAAAAATGTTTTCATTTGCTTAAAGGAAATATAGTATATTTATTATACCCTTAGAAGTGAAAAAGCAAGGGTTTTTAAGTAGTTTCTTTAGAAAACAATTTCTTAAAAAACAATTTCAAAGTATCATTAAAATCTCAAAAGGGCAAGTACTCACCTCTGGGAAAATCAGTTTGCAAATACTCTCGGCCAATGTGTGAAGATAGACTCGGCTCCGGCTGGTCTTTCGTTGAGGAAGACTCTCTTGTGCATTCTTCTCAGGGAGGTCCTGACAGATGGGCCGGGTTGCCTTACAGCTCTCTGAGCTTGCTGCTACCTCCTCTGCTGGCTCCTTAGGAACCTGACCTGGGGCCAGTAGGGAGAAAGGACATTCCCCGGTGATTTTGAGATCCTTGAGCTTTGTGCAAAACATGGTGTTGCTCTCGCTCAGCTGTGCTTTCCTCTGGAGGAAGTGATGTCTGATGTGGGAATAACGAACAGTAGCTGTTGCCAGTTCAAGGACACTGATGACCAGGATGACTGTGGGCAGCAGAGTCAGAACAGAAAGAGAAATGAAAGGGAGACCACACACTTAAGAAAACAGAAAAAGACAGGTACAAAAAGACAAAGATCATATACTCATGTCATTTCCAAGTAGAAAAAAAATTCTGATGGAAGTGCCAATGACAAAATGAGCAGAACATCTGGGAAAGATCTTTAATATGTACACATTTCAGTTCACTGCAAGAGTAAAATACCTGCCTTAAGTATTTTAATATTTTCCAAATAAAATATTATTTTCTCTGAAATGTCTGAAGCACAATCTACTGATTTCCATTTTTATAATCCACTTGGTCCAGTGATTCCACAAGAGTGGAAATCATGAGAGAAGCCAAGTCTAAATCTGTATTTAATCATTAGTGCTTGTACTACCATATTTCACTGTGCTGTCTTTTCTAAAAGTCAGAATAATATAAAACAATGTTTCTAAAAATACCTACAGGGAAAAAGAATGTATGTGTGTGTACCTCCACATAGACATATCTACCTATCTATCTACCTTATATGTAATGTTGCTCAGGAACGTTTTCAGATCTGAAACATTGACTTTTAGATGAAAAAAGATCAATGAAAATGACTGCAGCCAACATCTGTGGTTAAGCCTTTAATCCCAGCTATTCAAGCAGTGGAAATCAAAGAACTTTGAAGGGAGCCCAGGCAAAAAAGTTAGGGAGCCCCTATCTTAAAGAACATGTGGTGGTACATGCCTGGATTCCTAGCTATACAGAGAATTAGGTAGGAAGACCCTGGTTGGAGGCCAGCCTGGGGCACGGTATTGGGGGGAACATTGCGGGGGGGCAGCACAAGACCCTATCTGAAAAACAACCAAGGCAAAAAAATGTGCAGATGTGGCTTAGTTGGTAAAGTATTTACCTAGAAAGCTCAAGGCCCTGAGTTCAAACCTCAGTACCACAAAAAGTTTATAAATAGTAAAATAACTTTAAAATAATATTATAAAAATGATAATATTTTTCAAAGAACTACTGATCTCTAAACACATGTTAAAAGATTTGCATGGATCTCTGACTCAGATAAACCAAGCAGCCTCTCTTGCCAGAGATACACGGAAGTCCTGAGCACTGCTGTGGGCATATTTTCTATTATATGCTTTTGTTAGTGTCATGGTCTTAAATCCTTACACAACTCACAGCCCATTTATTGTCAGTTATTTGTAACTAGAACTATCTGGTATGAATTCAGCTCATCAACAGTAGTAATAACTTTCCTACTCTTGAAAAATGAAAAAACACAGGAGAACCCATATCTATTAATTCTCTACTATGTGCCTGATATGGTGCTGGGAAGTCTGTATGTACATTTGATCTTCACAGCCACCATCTGACATAGGCATTATCATTCCCAAAGGACCAGAGGCTCAAAAGTTCAGGTCATTTTCTCTGAAAGGCTAGGAAATGACAGTACCAGAATTCAAATGTAGGTTCACCTGTCTCTGAGCCAATATGTTTCTACTATCCCAAACTCATTCCTAGTTGGATCAGTTTCTACATAATGAGGCTTAGTTTATCAACTGATTAGTTGATCTTGAAAATATGGTTTACACCAAATTAGTAGAATTAGGAATGCAAAAGGGGAGATAACAACAAACACCATGGAAGTCCAGGAAATCATCAGAGACTACTTTGAGAACCTATATTCAAATAAATTTGAAAATCTAAAAGAAATGGACAGATTTCTAGATACATATGATCATCCAAAACTGAACCAAGAGGAAATTAATCACCTGAATAGACCTATAACACAAAATGAAATTGAAGCAGCAATCAAGAGTCTCCCCAAAAAGAAAAGTCCAGGACCTGATGGATTCTCTGCTGAAATCTATCAGACCTTTAAAGAAGAACTGATACCAACCCTCCTTAAACTGTTCCACGAAATAGAAAGGGAAGGAAAACTGCCAAACACATTTTATGAAGCCAGTATTACACTTATCCCAAAACCAGGCAAAGACACCTCCAAAAAGGAGAACTATAGGCCAATCTCCTTAATGAACATTGATGCAAAAATCCTCAACAAAATAATGGCAAACCGAATTCAACAACACATCAAAAAGATTATTCACCACGACCAAGTAGGCTTCATCCCAGGGATGCAGGGGTGGTTCAACATACGAAAATCAATAAACCAATAAACCACATTAACAGAAGCAAAGACAAAAATCACTTGATCATCTCAATAGATGCAGAAAAAGCCTTTGATAAGATCCAACATCATTTCATGATAAAAGCTCTAAGAAAACTAGGAATAGAAGGAAAGTTCCTCAACATTATAAAAGCTATATATGACAAACCTACAGCCAGCATTATACTTAATGGAGAAAAATTAAAACCATTCCCTCTAAAATCAGGAACCAGACAAGGATGCCCACTATCTCCACTCCTATTCAACATAGTACTGGAATTCCTAGCCAGAGCAATTAGGCAAGAAGAAGGAATAAAAGGAATACAAATAGGTAAAGAAACTGTCAAAATATCCCTATTTGCAGATGACATGATCCTATACCTTAAAGACCCAAAAAACTCTACTCAGAAGCTTCTAGACATCATCAATAGCTATAGCAAGGTAGCAGGATATAAAATCAACATAGAAAAATCATTAGCATTTCTATACACTAACAATGAGCAAACGGAAAAAGAATGTATGAAAACAATTCCATTTACAATAGCCTCAAAAAAATCAAATACCTAGGTGTAAACCTAACAAAAGATGTGAAAGACCTCTACAAGGAAAACTATACACTTCTGAAGAAAGAGATTGAGGAAGACTATAGAAAGTGGAGAGATCTCCCATGCTCATGGATTGGTAGAATCAACATAGTAAAAATGTCTATACTCCCAAAGTAATCTACATGTTTAATGCAATTCCCATCAAAATTCCAATGACATTCATTAAAGAGATTGAAAAATCTACTGTTAAATTTATATGGAAACACAAGAGGCCACGAATAGCCAAGGCAATACTCAGTCAAAAGAACAATGCAGGAGGTATCACAATACCTGACTTCAAACTATATTACAAAGCAATAACAATAAAAACAGCATGGTACTGGCACAAAAACAGACATGAAGACCAGTGGAACAGAATAGAGGATCCAGATATGAAGCCACACAACTATAAGCAACTTATCTTTGACAAAGGAGCTAAAAATATACATGGAGAAATAGCAGCCTCTTCAACAAAAACTGCTGGGAAAACTGGTTAGCAGTCTGCAAAAAACTGAAACTAGATCCATGTATATCACCCTATACCAAGATTAACTCAAAATGGATCAAGGATCTTAATATCAGACCCCAAACTCTTAAGTTGATACAGAAAGAGTAGGAAATACTCTGGAGTTAGTAGGTATAGGTAAGAACTTTCTCAATGAAACCCCAGCAGCACAGCAACTAAGAGATAGCATAGATAAATGGGACCTCATAAAACTAAAAAGCTTCTGTTCATCAAAAGAAATGGTCTCTAAACTGAAGAGAACACCCACAGAGTGGGAGAAAATATTTGCCAATATACATCAGACAAAGGACTGATAACCAGAATATACAGGGAACTTAAAAAACTAAATTCTCCCAAAACTAATGAACCAATAAAGAAATGGGCAAGTGAACTAAACAGAACTTTCTCAAAAGAAGAAATTCAAATGGCCAGAAAACACATGAAAAAATGCTCACCATCTCTAGCAATAAAGGAAATGCAAATTAAAACCACACTAAGATTCCACCTCACCCCTGTTAGAATAGCCATCATCAGCAACACCACCAACAACAGGTGTTGGCGAGGATGCGGGGAAAAAGGAACCCTCTTACACTGTTGGTGGGAATGTAGACTAGTACAACCACTCTGGAAAAAAATTTGGAGGCTACTTAAAAAGCTGGACATCGATCTACCATTTGATCCAGCAATACCACTCTTGGGGATATACCCAAAAGACTGTTACTCCAGAGGCACCTGCACATCCATGTTTATTGCGGCACTATTCACAATAGCCAAGTTATGGAAACAGCCAAGATGCCCCACCACTGACGAATGGATTAAGAAAATGTGGTATCTATACACAATGGAATTTTATGCAGCCATGAAGAAGAACGAAATGTTATCATTCGCTGGTAAATGGATGGAATTGGAGAACATCATTCTGAGTGAGGTTAGCCTGGCCAAAAGACCAAAAATCGTATGTTCTCCCTCATATGTGGACATTAGATCAAGGGCAAACACAACAAGGGGATTGGACTATGAGCACATGATAAAAGCGAGAGCACACAAGGGAGAGGTGAGGATAGGTAAGACACCTAAAAAACTAGCTAGCATTTGTTGCCCTTAACGCAGAGAAACTAAAGCAGATACCTTAAAGCAACTGAGGCCAATAGGAAAAGGGGAACAAGTACTAGAGAAAAGGTTAGATCAAAAAGAATTAACCTAGATGGTAACACCCACGTACAGGAAATCAATGTGAGTCAATGCCCTGTATAGCTATCCTTATCTCAACCAGCAAAAACCCTTGTTCCTTCCTATTATTGCTCATACTCTCTCTACAACAAAATTAGAAATAAGGGCAAAATAGTTTCTGCTGGGTATTGAGGGGTGGGAGAGGGAGGGGGCGGAGTGGGTGGTAAGGGAGGGGGTGGGGGCAGGGGGGAGAAATGAACCAAGCCTTGTATGCACATATGAATAATAAAAGAAAAATGAAAAAAAAATGGTTTACAACCTTACATTAAAGTTAATCAAGACCCTAATGCTCCTCCTCACTGGCTAATGGTACTTTTCTTTTCTATGCTCCTCAAAGTCCTTAATATGTTCTCGGTATATACAAGCAACAGGCTGTAAACTGCCCACTATCTAATCAGTTTAGAACAATGGACAATTTATTTTCTGAACAGAGGTAAATAAGAAGCTATATGCAACAATGACACACTGGAGATGTCATGGAACATTAGGCAAGGTGTGTGGGAGAGACTATGAATACTGTCAGG